GGCAAGCGCCGGTCTATGTAAATCTGATCACCTAAATCTGATTTATTTCAGTGTCTCACATACAATTGCCCCTATTCTAGTCTCTAAGCCTAAAACTATTCAGAATGACTGCTTGCAAACAAAAGTGTGATACAATGTGCACTAACTGATTAAAATCAAGAACATTAAAGTGCCTGGTGCCTCTTGTGGGTGATCTTTAATCCAGGTTAGAGTAATCTACAAATTTGGAACAAAGGAAATGGGGCTTCTTTTTGATTGTTAAAAATGTTATTGAAGTGTTAAGTGTGTAACTAGCTAACAAAAATTAGAGTCCAGTGATTAGCTACATATTGGTACATTAGTACAGTGTTGATAGCGGATAATATAGTGGGTCACATGGCTGACTTCCGTGCAGCCACCTTCAGATAAATTCCCGCTCATTGACTGCTTGTATGAACGCGAGTGCAATTTTTGAGCTGTCACTATTTGAACCCTGCGCGTGACCGATGCAGGCTGTAGTCTACCTTTCACCCACAGTCAACTGGGATCCAGATTCCCCGCAAACCCGAACAGCTAGAAAACGGATGGTGTGTCAACGCATGAAAAAGGACAAGTTACAAGCAGGTGACTGAAAATGGTTTCCCTTTGCAGGGTGTCGGCGCTCTGACCCTTAAGAGATTGAGCAAAGAGCTCGGTCATTCAAAAGGGACTCCGTGGGGAGAAAGGAGTCAGTAAAGGTGGTTTTATATAAGATGCTTCTCGGATACTGCCCTGGGGAGGTGTTTCAGGCAAGGGACGAGACCTCAGGGCAGTATTAAGACACACAAGAGGGAATACATGTCTCAGAGCTGGCCAGCAATGGTACACATCTGTGGAGGCCAGAAATGGGAAAGTCTGGGCACACCTGCTTCGAGTGCAGCTCCGGCGACCCGGATAAGCAGAGGAAAAAGTTGGAGGATGATGTATTTTCCTAAGTTCGGTTCTCGGAGAGAACTAACTTGAGCTGAAAACTTTGGGAAACCCTGACGAGTAGCTTAACAAATTGAGTTTCTGACAGACTGTTAGCAATTGTGAGCAATTTCCAACACAGCACAGCAGCAAGGGGGTCGTATTTATAGCAGCTTGTGTCATTCGTGCTCTATTTATGAGGTGGATGACCTCATTTCGCACAACTCCCTTACGTGCTGAGGTATCGCAAGCTAGCGAGTGAGAGACTCTTTCTTACTGTTGCAGATGGTGCCAAACGTGTCGTAGTCTTCCACGCTTTCGCAGACCACCCTCCACTGGGAGAACACCGAGTTGGGGCTGATGGAGTTCATGTCGAAGGAGCTCCTGGCCCCCAAAAGGTCGTCCGTGCAAATGTCACAATCGCTGCCTCCGATGGCAAAGTTCCAGTAGGGAAGCGCAAAGGATGAATCACCCAGCATGTCCTATGTAGCGTATGCAAAATATTGACAATCGCCTCTATTAGTCTGATATTCGGTCTTAATCCAGATGAGTAGGTAATTAATTGATCAAATCAAATCTCTTTTATTTGCCTTTTGTGCTTTTGGCCACATCATTACATCCCCTTTATTGACACTGTGTGTTTGTGTTTGTGATTTGGAGATGTGCTTTTTGTAGATGGCCAAAAATTGTTTCACAAACAGGTGGAGGATCCCCTGCAGGATATATTTCGGAGATCTATGACCTTGGGTTTCTAAGCGTCTTTTTAATTTTTAATGAGGCTCTTGTATTAGATCTCATTTGATCCCGTTAAGTCGAACATTCTAGTGTATCGTCGTCCCTTTTCCCGTGTCTCTCACATACTTTTGCTTTCTCTTCGTGTATTTTGTCTTCTACGGTCTACCCACTTGCATATCTCTTTCCAGTTGCAGCAGATGAAAGCGGTGCCAGGTGACAAAACCGGGGCCCTCGTGGGAAAAGTCCACTCCTCCGAAGCTGGCCTGGCCTGGGCCCAGGAAGGTCTTACTGACAGAGTAGTAATGGCTCCACACAAAGTAGTTGTAAATGGTGATGTTCTCAAACTGAGGCGTGTTGCCATCCGGCCCAAATATCTCCTGGTACCTAAAAATGAGAAAAGCAGGAGGTTGGCAAATTAGTTTTTACTCTCCATCATCATCCTTGGAGATATTGTTTGGGAGATTAACAGCATTATTATGGTTTGGTCGTCGCTCAGTGAAGTCCATAAATATATTTTTTAAATCCCAACAGTAGCTGCCAATGAGACATCAAGTGATAAAAGCCTTTCTGAGTGCAGCAGGAAGTCACTCTTGACAAGGAGGTCAAAAGGTTGGCACTTAGCGCCGTCGAGAACAGCTTCAAATATTTATGTGCTGTTGCTCCAGAAATTATTCTACCTGCGGCTTCCACTGATAAATCTTTTCAAAACAATCTGTTATTTTCCCACGACGACGAATGATGACTTCATGTGTCATGAAAATATAATAAGGCACATTAGCATAAATACCGTCTTGTACAGATGACAAGGTCGGGGTGGATGGTCCTCTTTGCTTGGTCTAGAGCGTCGATAAATGCTCGCTTCTCACTTGCGCTCATTTGCATTAAATTTCTCCGTACTGCAGGAATGTTAGGGAGAGAGGAGAGTAACAGAAAAGAAGAGGAAAGGTTATTATTTCTCATTAAACGTGTCTATCCCCTTGCCACAAATGCTGTTGTCATTCCCGTGCTTGTTTTCTGGGGAAATACTGAGAGAGTGCTTATCGGGTGTGCAACGGGAAATGATCCAGTTTCACTTATCGACGATTTGTTTCCCACAAATAACATATCTTTGTTCTACTCTCTATGCCAGCAATGTACAGTGACAAGCAGAGCAATGACATGCTCTTCCACTACATGTGGCATTTTTTTGTTTGGTGTTGAGCCGTGCATTTACCGAATGTGATGACAGTTTTCCAGGGGGAAAAAAAGTTATAATTTATTCAAGTGGATAACACACCCAGTGATTAATTGGGGCACACTATCTATATTTTACCCTTAACTTCAAGAGTAAATGCATTCTCTATGCCATGCTACAAAATATTTTCCTTTCTCTTACCCACAGAGATCCGCTGGTCACAGTTCGGTCCAGTCAGTCCATGTCGACATCGTCCGCAGTTGTAGCCGCTGAAATTGCCGTTACACTGACAAGAGCGATTGAAGAATCGCATCGGCCACCTCTCTCGATCGTCGCGCCCGGCGTAGGGATACTGGGGTCCGTGGCGCCGATTGTCGGCAGCAATGGGCACACACTGACCCCGTCCCGTACTGGATCCGCATTCATCTCCCGCTTGGCCTGACAGGGAGGGGCAGCACTGGCCACTGCGGAGCCCCTCCGGGGTGACGCACTCCCGAGGGAACTGGGCCACAATCATTGTGACACACAAGGTGGCCACCAGGAGAGTCGCTGTCCAAATGCTTGACAGGTAAGAGAAGAGGCTCATTTTGTTGTCGTGATAGGAAACTATGTTTAAACGGGAATAGAAGCAGGTGTAAAATGACAATAATGTTTTTTGTTTGTTTTTGGCCAAGGACTGAGATTATTGTATTTTTACTGCATTTGCACAAACAATGAAAGTGTTCTTGTTTGGCACATGTACCACTACTCCAGACACAAAATGTTTTCTGGATTTTGTATACTAATGCTGAAAAAAAAACAGCCTTCAACAGCGTTTTTGAGGGCCATTTGTTTTTTTTAAGATTAACAGTATGTTGCAATTTTCAAAGATGTGAAATGTATGCTGCATTGAAGATTCTGAAAGACACTTATGCTTCATCGAAGTACTAAATTCTGTGGCAAAAGATTGTTGTCGCCATTCTGAAGCTTCGTCCTTCAGGTGGTCTGAGCCTTTATTCATAATTCAAGGGGCAATTAGCTTCCAACTCTCAGCAAATCAGAAGCACTTACATAGGCTGGAAATTATTGAGATTATTTATTCAGCGGATCTTTGATAAGAAATGAGCAGTATATATCGCAAGTGGTCTTTTTATGTTCATCATAAGAGAAAACATTCAGGAAGTTGGAAAAGAATAAAATGAATAATTTGAATGCCAATTTTATTCAGAATTTTTTTTGTCCTTACCTGTGAGTGTGCATCTTGCTCGTCTTGATCCGACCAACTGTAGCCCCCAAAGAATTAGTTCATCCTGCTTCTTTGTCTTAAATAGCTATGGAGCGCATGACTAAAGTATTTGCACCCACCACCCTCCTCACCCATGCCCCTAGTCTCTCACACACACACACACACACACACACACACACACACACACACACACACACACACAGAGTGGGTCCAGATGGATGACCAGAAAAAGGCTTGAATCTTGTGATCATAACTTTAGGGCAGACTGTCCCTCCTGTAATTGTCAGATAATTTGTCTTTTTGTCTGTGGATGTTCACTCATCCAAGTCGGGATGGAAGTAATAAAGTTGGCTATAAAATGCAAAATAAAAATGTAGATTCAGGGATCACCAACACTTTTGAATGTGAGAGCTACTTCTTGGGGATTTATTAATGTGAAGGGCTACCAGTTTGGAGCACGTGCATGGCAGGTTAACCCGTTCAGGGACAGCGGTTACTACAGTGGACAGCTTATCAGGTTACAGGTTATCATTATTTGCACATGAAAGGGTTAATGAAACAATCTCAATTGTCCCTAGGTGTGATTGTGAGCAAGAATGGTTGTTCCTGCCCTGCGATTGGCTGGCAACCGGTTTAGGATGTACACTGCCTATTGCCTCAAGATACCTCCAGCACGCCCGTGACCCTCATGAGATAAGTGGATTTGGTGATGTGGTATTTTTCAAACAGGTAGTGGACTCTAGCCATTGGACAAGAGAAGCAGAAACATTGCTCTTTAATTTTTAGATTGTGCAACAGTTGTTGATACAAATGTCAAAAGTTATGAACAATATAAACCTCAGTTTTAAACGTTTTACTTTTGGACAGGACAAAGACAATGCTTGTACAGAAATGCAAACGTCACAAGAAAAATGCTTCTTTCCCTTTTACAGAGAGTACTTCCTCAACATGATCACACACGTAAAATGGGTCCAGACTATTCTCCCCACTCCCCCCGGGAATTTCACAAATACTCACACAGACACAAACATTCACATGCGTTCACTCAAACACACATCATACAAATTGGCGTGATCATCTTTCAGAATCAGGTACTCTGCTTTGAGTACTGTTGGACAATTTGTAATACTTCATGAGGTATTTGGGATACATTGGAACAAGGGCGAAGAGGGGCTTACACTTTAATAACAACACAAAAACAATCGGACCACCCTAGAGCATGGAAGTCCTGACTTCTTGTGGGGAATGCGGTCCTCGTCCACCACTGGCTGATTCCTCTGCGGTGACGTCTGGGATGTTCGACATGCTAATCACATGCTTCCCTTTGTGCTTTTTGATGTTTTGTGCCAGGGTCGCCGCTGCATCGTATTGCTCTGCTGCTCCAATTCTGTCAGTGATAGAATAAAACAATGTTTGAAAAGAGAGTACTGTATCCAGTTTAAGTATCGCATATATGCAGTAGATGTAAACTTGTTGGAATATCCGCAAAAGCATTACTGGACGGTGGAGCATGAGATTTTCTTTTCCTCGAACAGTCATACCCCGGGCTTTCTCTGACCCATTCATGCAAGTCATCAAGGCATCACATGTATGCCACACTGAGTACCCTTTGGAGTGTATGACGTTACAAAACAGCTTGAAGGAAATCAGCTAAGAGGTCCATAATTGGACCTCTGGAAGTTAAGAGGACAGCTGCGCGCATTCATGTTTAGAAACCATTGGGCGCTGAGAGGTGTGCGGTATGAGGCTGAGTGACATCATACACACACATACACATAACATACTGTTGAAGGTCCCCATTTCCTGCATGGAGTGTGTCGTCACTGTTGTCACCGCCCGTGGTCACCTCTGCTTCAACACACCCTTCCTCACATGAGCGTTGTTCAGCCGGGCCGCTGCAGATAAGTACATTTGAAAAATACTGATAACAAGATGTCCCCACAATGAAGGAATTTCACATTGAATTTTTTTTTCAATGTATGGTTGTAATATGCAACTACAGAAGCCTCCCAACACTGCACTGAGTCACTGAGGTGTTATTTAAGCTGTCAGAAAAAACTACAGTATATTCTATTATTTTCTCATTAATAACAAAAGTCATATGACAACAAAATATATCAAATGGCCAAGATGTAACTGAGTAATTTAACGTGATTGTGAAAATAAATACACTTATTAAAAGGAATATGGCATAAACGATACCTGTTTTTGTTATGACCTTTAAAGATATAGATGATAATGACAACTGTCTCCAAAAGCAAGAACACCACAGCAATTGTCGCGCCGATCTTCCACGCTTCCAGGACCATTACCTTTATTTCTTAACACATAAATTCATAGACATGAGAAAAGAAAACACAAGGTCAGTTTGTTTTTGCCACGCACAATCTACCTTTCTAAAGAATTTGCGTAAAGTGTATCAGGAATGTCTCGATCAAAAATATCATCGACTTTAATGAGATGGAAACAGTGCCTGGAACTCATTGTTGTTTCATTGTTTAGTTGGGTCAAATAAGGCTAGCCCATGCACTGCTTAATCCAGTTGTTATTCACCACTCTCTCTCCCCCAAAAAGTTATCACCCAAAATCACCTCATGTATCTTCATTATAGAAGGATACAAATAAAAAAGCATTGGAAAATAACAACGCGATTCCTCACCCGGATCCTCAGCGGTGTCTTCAACCAGCTCTCCTCTTGCCTGAGGGGGAATTGCCAGGACATTCTTCACGAAATACTCAAGTGTTGGGTGGGCCACGTTGGGGTCACCAGCCACGAGGTCATCAGTTGGGCAAAGGATCTCATTGAAAACATTCTCTGCAACCTCACTGAGTGCTGCACTCGGGGCGGCAGCACCCTGGTTGTCGGGCTTCTGCCCAATGTTGACTCCGGCATCATTTTCAGGCTCCGGGGCAGAGATCACTGTTGTTTCTAGAATGGGGAGTCGGTATGTGACACAGAAATGAAAATGAAGCTCAGAGGCCACGGTTTGAGGTGTGTCGAGTGGACCTATGGAATGTAGAATAATGCAGTGATGTGTTTCGTGTTGGTCGACTTTGCTTTGCAGGCCTCTAAAAGATGACGCATATCATTTGTATCTTTGCAGTGCCTACATTGTTATTGTCATCTCACACACCGATATCTTGTCAAGATCTTCTCAGTAGACATCTAGACAAAAAAATGCTACACAATACTTTCTGTTGAAGTCAGTTACAGTAAATGGATCAAGGTAATTGTTTAATCCGGAGCAGGCTCTGTGTTTTGTAACCCAAACTTGTGGGGAAAATGTATGTTTTTCATGCATCCATCATGTACCTTCTGTTATTCTATTATATTGTTCAGTGTCACAGAAGGTGCTTGAGCATTTCCCGGGTGATTTGGAGCATACTACACCCAGAAAGGGTTGACAATCAATTCAAGGCTGATTGTGATAAGAACAGCACAGCACAGAAGCTGCACGTGAGCCACTACACTTACAGTGGTCCTGAAAAATTGAGCGTAAATCATTGTTTGCTCGTAGGTGAGTAGATGTAACCGGATCAGAACCACTCAATTAACATTTAAAAGTGTCTCAATCAGGACTCATTGTCTCACCTGGGCCTTCTTTGAGGTCATTTGAAGTCTGTGATGTAACCTCTTCGACTCCAGCTTGTCGCTCATCCCCACCGTTGACCAACACTTCGTACTCTTCGCTGATGTGTCGGTAACTTTCTCGATCTTTTGAATCCACTTCCCCACCTTCAAGCTCAATAGATTCCACTTCTTCCTCAACATAACTTTCCTCCACATCATCTTGGCTTTGAGGGTCCTTGACTATGTAGTTCTCTTCGCTAACTGCGAGCTCTTCCACCACCTCGATGTCAGGATTATCAGATGGCAGTGCGATCACTCCACCGTCCACGTCACCTGCCGCAGCATCTTCCTCTATCTCCCCTACTCTGCCGATTTCTTCCGCCACAAGATTGAGCTCAGAGTCTGCACCAGTCTCCCGCACTGGCTCCCCACCAACATCTAGCGCTTGAACAATTGGAGTTGTTGCTGTTTGGACTCTACCATTTAACATTACAACCTGCATGTTGCTGTCCTCTACCTTTTCATCGTCTAATGCTACATCTTTGCCCATCCCCTCTATGGTCGTTTCCTCTACAACTTTCTGACTGACTTTGGCATCTACGGACTCAACAATGGCAGCCTCAACTTCAACAGTGTCTACCCCAACTGTGGTCTTTTCCATACTAACAGCAAGTGCTTCTCCCTCTCTTTCCTTTGCCTCCTGCTCCTCTTCATGACCAGCATCCATCCCTAGCACCATCCTTTCGGATACCTCGACTTGAGTCTCGTCTTCAAAGCCCACCGCATCCTCCTCTGCTCCTTCTTGCACTGCCAGCTCATCCCATTTCCCTTCCACTTGTCCCAGAGCTGCTTCCACCACCCTCTCCAAAAGCTCCTTCAGGAACTCCTCAGCTGCACCACCCTCAACCTTCTCAGAGGCCTCCTGCACTGCTTGTTGCACTTCTTCCAGGCTTGGTGGGGCGACAACTGACATAACCTCAGCTGGACTCCACCCTGGTTCACGGGGTGAGGTGTGTGTATCTTCAAGCGTGACCCTGGAAGACTGGGTTGAGGTAGGAACGCCTACAAACATTGAAAACAATTAGGTAGAATTTAGAGGAAGGGACAGATAGTGGTCAGGCCACAAGGAATGTAATGATAACGGGTTATGTTGTCAATGGGTTCGCAATTTCTTATCTAATCATTTTCCCAGTATTCAGTCCTTGGGAGCAGTAGTGGACATCTCCGTTGGCTTCGAGTTTGAGGACGAGCTGCAAACCAAACCTGCATTTCCTCTGTGAAATGCTGTAATGTATACCAGTACACTACTAGTGCATGTAGAAAAAAAAAAAAAAAACATGAAGTGCATGTCTTGTAATGTTGCTGAAAGGCCAACCCCAACCTACCGTCAGATGTTGTGCAGTGTTTTATGAACAAAACCACCAAGAATCCTTTTAAAAAGAAGTACTCCATGGGTTCCAGGAAAAAATATTGTCGAGGAAAAAACACAATCCCAGTCGTTTTTTTTTTTTTTTTTTTTTTTTTTATCCTCTTCACCGTCTCCCTTCTGGTTCCTTTTAAATGTCAAGTGTGTGCACACCACCACGAGACATACACTGAATGTGAAGGCTCTTGACGCTTGGACAGTAAATTTGGTCTGGGCAGGCAGGGCAATGTTAGGAGGTGATGCTGAAATGAGGGTGGGTGAAAAAACGAGCAGCGCCATGTTAAATATTGCCGACTCGAACCTACAGGTGTCTTTGTGAAAGATGGTCTTGGGCGGGTTTGGAGTTAGTAAAGTCTCACCTCATTGTTAAATGCATTCGGAACCTTGACATGGGCTATGGTGAGGCCCTGGCGGCATGTTGCACACAGAGTGAACTGTGGCGGTGTAATTAGAAGCGGGCTGTGAGTTTGTCAATGAGTGATGCTACCATGTCTTGACGGAGAACTCGTGAAAGTTTGTGGGGGTATCATAAAAACATCAGACGTTTGTAATCAGTGAGTGGAAGTACCTCATCTCATTGGGCATTTTATGGACGCTTATCTGTTTCCATCACATTCGACCAGTGTGTTTTTTAGGAATAGAATTGTGACTTTGTATATTATACAAGGCAAAGTCTGATGCTCATGTTGCGTGGATGTCAAGCATGTACCTGTTTATTTTGCCAATGTTACTGTGGGAATAAACAGGAATCAGCGGTAGCTATTGAAATAATTGGTAACTCTTTGGAAATTCAACGTCCACCATGTGTATTGCCAGAGGCATCGAGAAATCCCCTAGATGGGTTTGAGAGGAGCAGATTATTTACTTTTAATTCCAGGATAGCATCAAGGAGACTCCCTCGGTAAACACAGCATAAGCTCCGACAGAAATGTTTGGATTTGCTTCAGCAGAAACATATGAAACTAATATGACATGCACATTTATTTAGAAACTAAAAGGAATGCAATACATCCACAAACCTCACCATTTTTGTCTTTTTTTTTTTTTTTATTGATTTGTTGAATGCAATCCAAAAGTCAAATTTGATTACACCCTGGACTGGTTGTGGTGCTTCTGAAAGGGGCACTAAATGGACTTGATCCTACTCCACTTGCAATACATTTATCTTAACCACACTGCAGAAAGGTCTTTCTGTACCAAGTTACTGGTCAAATCTCAAATTTAAGATTTTTTTTTTTTTTCCCCATGGAAAAGAATTGAAATGTAATAAATCTGTGTCGTGGTCATACTGTCACCATCCCAAATAACCTTTAAAAACAATAATATTTCTTTTAGTAAAACTGTATTTGAAATTCTGAAGTATTAAAATATCAACTGCTGTTAGCAGAAATAGAGATTTGTACTCACCATCTGCTGGTGAGTAACAGACATGGTGATGAACATGCAAACTTTATTTATTCATGCATCTATCTATCTATCTATCTATCTATCTATCTATCTATCTATCTATCTATCTATCTATCTATCTATCTATCTATCTATCTATCTATCTATTTATTTATCTATCTATTTTTATGTTGTTTTAGCCATATATTGTAGTACCGAGCAGCTTCGACTCAGATGTGTGCGTCGCTAGACAATGTCATGATTCCGTTTTTGTAGAGATGACATTTTGGTTTCATTTCCTCATGTGCTTTTCTCTTTTTTGTTTGGTTTTGTGTCCACCTGTTGTCATCCGGGTCCCTCGCGTTAACCAATCAGCTCCCTCAACCAGCTGTGTCTTGCCCAGGTGTTCTTTGTTGTCTCGTCAGTTTGCTTGTTTCAGTTTACTGGGTTGTGTCAGTCTATGTTGGGTCGTTGTCTTGCGCTCATGTTGTTTGTGCGTCTGCCATGGGTTTTCTGTTAGTTTGTTCCTTTGGTTTCTTAGTGTTTTTAGGATTTTGTTTGTTTTGGATCGAGTTTTTCCGGTGTTTTGTTCATACTTTTGGTTCAGTCCACCCTGCTTCTCCTGCCTGCCTGCTTTTTTTGCATCCTCTACCATCACGCAAAATGACAACCAATGTTACAGCACCGGTAAGTAAAATTTCCAGTTCTATCTATGGTCATCGTCACGTTTCATCCTCTGCTGTGCACTGACATTCTGCGTGACTGTCTATTTTTTTTTCCTATGGTAAATGTAGTGAACTTATGTATCGCTTTACAAAACCTTCACATTCACCCATTCATGTGTACATTCATTCACCAGTGGGAGGTTGCTGTCATGCAAGTCTCCAGATCTAGTGAGAGCAAGTCAGGGTTTGATGATCTTGTGAAAAAAAAAAAAAATTTGGAGAGGATAGCAAGTGATGATTCTTAGCAATGGCATAGGTTCTGTCCAGCACTTTGGCTTAAGTCATCATTGCCCTGTGACGTGTCTTAAGAAATTTTCTGGGGGGATTTTTATACAATCAGGAGACGCTAACCAAAGGCTCCATTGATTCTCATGTCAAAAGACCAGTGTGATTAAAAAAAAAAAAAAAGCTTATATCATGAAACCTGGGTGTCACATAACACTGGGAGCTCCTCCAGCCTGAGCATTTGTTTTGCGTTTCGTCCGTTCTTCTCATGGCTCTCTTTTGAGGTGGTAACTGAATTTGTCTTCTCTGTGTAATTCAAGCAAAATTAGTCATGAGTGCTAAAAAAAAATAATAATAATAAAACCTTCAACTTGAACGCTTGATTGAAATCAACGCCAAACCTTCTGAGACAAACACAAGTGAGGCCATGAGGAAAAACTATATGTCAAACATTCATTCTTTGCAATTCCACCTTCAAATATGTTTTATAACCACTGATCCTTCTGGCTCTCTTTCATTCGTGACTGCCGAGGATTAGATGGGGAAGGTTAATACAGTCACATGAGCTCCACATTGTGCTTTGTGCTACCAGGCAGTAGCACTACATACAAAGCTTGTGACTGGGTTGGAGGCGCACGGGATTATCTCAATGAAGCTTATTGTGCACATTCACATGCTTCACACACTTTAGCTTCATATCTCAACATGCACGAATAGTCGTGCACAGGCTAAAGATTGTTAACACACTTCCTGGGAGAGGTAATCGCAATGCAACTTTTGCTATGATATCATTGTCATATATCGCAAGTGATAATGATGTGGCATTTTTGGGATAATTGAAAAGAATACATGAAATGCATCATGATAGTTACTGAGTTTAAATCATGGTTAAAATTTGACAAAATGAAAGTATTAATGATTTGTTCAGTTATGTTGTTCTCTGGGCACCCCGGTCGGTGATCGACTGCTTAGCGCGTCGGCCTCACAGTACAGAGGTCGTGGCTTTGATTCCGGCTCCGGCCTTCCTGTGTGGAGTTTGCATGTTCTCCCCGGGCCTGCGTGGGTTTTCTCTGGGTACTCCGGTTTCCTCCACATTCCAAAAGCATTCATCGATCAATCAAAATTGTCTCTAGGTGCGACTGTGAGTGTGAATGGTTGTCAATGTTCCCTGCGATTGGCTGGCAACCAGTTCAGGGTGTCCCCCGCCTACTGCCTGAAGACAGCTGGGATAGGCTCCAGCACCCCCCGCGGATTCGAAAGTGGATGGATGATGTTCTCTACATGAAATGAATTCCACATCGTCATCATATGCTGCTGTTTTTTTTTCTCTTTTTTTTTTCCACAAAAATTCCTTTTCGTCAAGCAACCTATTGGGCAACAGCATCATTTGCATTTTGTTTTCAAAACTAAAATGGCAGTTATGATAAGAGTTCTATGAACTTTGCCGAGCAAAAAGCAGAAATAAGAAATTGGAATTTAAAAATGATGTGGATTATTCCCGTGCTGTATCTTGCCAATATGTACTTGAGTGTCTGGTGGTCCATTTATTTCTTTTTCATAAGCCACAGGGTGATTTTAAAGTGTAATTTTATTCTTTTAAAAGGCACGCTTGTGCAAAGGCAGCTCACCAATTAAACTCGGGTGATTACATTACATAAAGGCAAAGTAATGTTTGCCCAAGTAAAACCGTGTACAGATTCTTTGAGTAAACGACAGAAGCGACCTGTAGAGTAACAGGAAGGCCATAGGAGTTGCTGTCTGTATTTCACATGTTACTGTTGGAATTTCAGACGTCCTCTCCATGAAGGGAGCACATGATTGAGGTGTGTAACCAACACTTGGCATCGTCCATTACTAACACGAGCAACTACAAACCTCACGACTTACAGGTTACAGTACTTTGAAGTTTCATTGGCGTTAGAAAGACACCATCCAAAATGTTGAAATGTCTTCTTTTTTTTTTTTTTTTTTGTCATGATCTTGAGTGGTGCAAAAAGAGCTGTTTTGTGACAATTTTTAACATTCAACCCTTGTTGACCCCACATGTATAGATCCATCCATTCTTTTAGATCTGCAGTTGTGAAACGGAAAAGGAGCATCAGTCAAGCCATACAACAGGCTAATTTTATGATAATCAAAAAATGATAAACACATGAATATAAATGGTTTTATTCATAGTATTTTCCAGTTGTGGCATGAAAATTAACTATTTATAGTCAGAGATGAATATTTATAATACGAGATGTATTTTGATTTAGAATGAGTCGATGTGTGTAAAATGTTATCGCTTCAGCTACAGCCTTGTAGCTATAACTAATCACTATCATAATATGAAATATGACCAACCATACTTTTTTTTTAAACCACAGTGACCAAAACTTGGCCTGGCCACAAATGTCTCATAGTTTCATCCCCCAGTGGTTCTGCAACATTGTGCCAAATGTACAGGAGCTGCTGACATCAAAAGGAACATTATATGCAGTCTGGTGCAAATGGGAATACAGTATGTGGAACAGTGGTCACCGACTCCAGTCCTCCAGGGCGCCATTTCTGCATTTTTTTAAAAATGTTTCCCTCCTCCAATACGCCAGATTCAAATGATCAGGATCGTTATCAGATGTCGACAGCAGCCATGTCCAGCTCCTGCCCTAAAGGGCCGCTCTCCAGCGTGTTAACCCCCAAAGCAACGTGCCCTGGTGACCTGCTGATCAAGTGCACCTGCTCACATGACGAGGCCTACACA